AGAATTGGACCCCCTGGTACAATATTTTTGAAACTTGGTGGATATCTTGGGGAGAGGCTCCAGTAGCTACCCTGTGAGTTTCCCTCAAACCCTCTTCCCTCCAGCCCCCAGAATATACACTATGTTTTCGCTATTGACTTAAAGGGCCGTGGGAATATAATGGGGCGGCGAAAGCCGATTCAGATCAGAGAATCTGAATTGGCCCACAGCAGTCTGAAAGGGGCCTGAATGGGCCATTTTCAGGGGTGGATTTGGTTCAGACAAACCGAATGCACATCCCTAGTGGGGAGTAATCCTGGCTGGGCTGCCTTCTCCAGCTGCCCAGTTTAAATGCTGCCTGGGCTACCCTCTCCTACATCCCAGTTTAAACTGGGCAACAGAAGAAGGCAGCACAAAGTTGTGCGATCATGGCTGGGCTGCCCTCTCCTACTGCCCAGTTTAAACCAGGCAGCAGGAGAGGCAGAGCATAGCTGTGCCTGCAAGGAGCGATCAGCTCCCCGCAAAGCACGGCAATCACAGTTTGGCTGCCCTCCCCTGCCGCTTGGTTTGGGACAAGTGATGCTCTGTATTCTTGGTGCCGGGGGGAGCAACAGTAGGAGGGCTCCTAGTGTCCCGGCCCCACTGCTGGACCTCCTTTTTTTTTTATGCCCCCCGAAGGGGATTTTTTATTTGCATTTTCTATAAACTACAAAAACGAAAACTAAAAGTTGGAAGGGGGAGGGAAACTAAAACCCTATCACTATAGCTATGGGAAATGGGAAGAGGACAAACTAATACATAAAAAACTACTTGATGGGGAAAGGAAGCTACTATTCTAAACTATTTCATCTATTGGATTTGGGGAAAGGAAAGCTAATACATGTCACTACTGCTGGACCTCCTGATGGCACCTGGTATTTCTGGCCACTGTGTGACAGAGTGTTGGACTGGATGGGCCACTGGCCTGATCCAACATTGACTTCTCTTATGTTCTCATGTTGTGCCAGTGGGGAGCTCCCCACAGACCCAGCTGATCTTGGGCTGGCCTCCCTTGCAGCCTAGTTTACACTAGGATGCAAGAAAAGCTCTCAGCTCCATGCCACCCCAGCTAATCCTTGGGCTTTCTCCAGTCCCTTTAAAGTTTAAATGGACTGCAATCCCGTCTCTCCACTGTTTTCACATCTACCCCAAACCCTGAAATATATCCAGGATTATCTCGGGATTTTTTTTAAATCTCCCTGAGGAAAATTCAGATACATTTAGAAAGCCAAAATATATCTGAAAAATACCAACAAGGTATTTTTTGGGTATATTTTCAGCTTGGGTAGATCCGAATGCGCACCCCTAGTAAAGATCAAATAGGAATCTCCAAGTAAGATACCTTATTCTCCTTGGAGAACAAATGTGATAAAATAACATAAAAATTAGTGACATACACATATGGCACTAGATTCAAAGTACTGGTTCCCATAAAAAGGAGATGTCCTTGATCTGAGTTTTGCAAACTGGCAAGTATATCACCAAAACAAACAAAAAGGCGTAATTGAGTATATGGAAATTCAGAGACAAAGTGTAGAGTAAAAACTGAAGAACCTGTGAACGTATCGCAGCTCTGACGTGTTGGTGAGAAGCCTTGGAGGTTGCCAGGAAGCCTCCTATCTGCCAATCTCCTCATAGGATGCTCCTTTTTGCTGTCAAAGAGGTAGAAAGAGATCTTGCTGAATGAATCACATGGTGTCATCTCATATCTTATGGGTGAGAGGTCTTTAAAAGAAAGAAAATGATGGTTGAGAAGGTGTTGCAAAGCTGGCCTTTTAATGTTATCACTATTGTTTTCTCTTGTCCCTTTCATAGCTTGGAATTTAACACAACAATCAGCCATAAACAAACAAAGAAAAATCAACAGATCCTGACCTGCATTGTTAATAACAAAGGGAGGAATGGTTCTAATTTAACAAACAAACAAAAAAGTCACAGGGACTATTTAAAGGGCAGAAAAGACATCAGGATCGATACTCTTTGGGACAAAATTACAGCTGGTTTTAAATGATTCTGGCCATTTCCACACAGATTATCTGCCCCAGGTTCAGTGCTGCAGGAATTAGGTTTCTTTTCCTGCTTCCCAATAGTATCATTGGGCATTTGTGCACTCTGACTTTTCTCTGATCTTTCTCAAACCTGCTTTGCTTCAAAGTTCTGGGAAAGATTGCAGTAAAACCTGGATGGCTGCTGTGTGAGTAGGAAAAGTCAGTTTACGCCAGCCACATGGGAATAATTTTCCCTGGCCCTGGCTGCAATCATACACACCAGTTCACACAGTAAAATCCAGTTGGAAAGCACATTGAAAATGGATTATTTAGTGTGTGTGATCGCAGCAGCCATTTCCTCCCCATGCTATTGGGGGGCTTTTAATTTGTTTTTAAAAAAACTGTACTAGAATGCTATTATATCAATATACCATTGTAACAGTCTCTAAATTCTCTTTTTTAAAAGTAAGCCTCTATCTAAAAAAAAACTTTCCCTTGTGGATAATACAATGGGAAAAATATATCTTCACAATGGAAAGGGATAGAGACTTGCTTAAAAAAACTGAAAGCTGAGAATTCACAGAACCTGATATATCTACTGTTAAAATGGTATACCTACATAATGATATTTAGTGCCTTTTTAAAAAAAACTGCAAAAGCCCTGGTGGGCTCAGGGGAGGGGGTATGGCCACTACTGGGGGACGAGGGCTGGGAAACCTGCCATGCAGAAACCCCATTGCCGCTGTCTATGCAGCCACACCACCAGTGGGGAAACCACACAAGCCCCTCCCTGTGCGGAAACCACCTTTGGGTCTGTAAGGTATTTCAGAGCAAAGGGGGATCTAAGTGAAAGACTGATGGTGACTCTCAAGAATTTAATATTATGAGGTAAATGTCTTGAAAAAAGATTTTTAAAAGCAATCTATTTGCCAAAGGAATGAATGACCCTACTCTGTGTGTGTGTGTGTGGATAGACAGACAGAGGCCCCGGTCACACGGGAGGCTTTGATCCGCGAGAGGGACGGATCGGGAGCGCATCAAGCGGGCGCGATCACACCGCAACATCTGGGAAGCGGCACGCACCCGTCCCCGATCTGTCTCTTCCGGTCGAAGATGCAGATCAAGAAAACCCCTACAAAACACTACTACTTACCAGAAAATCTGCAGCAGGGGCGGCCGTGGGATTGCTGGCGCGCCCATCTCCGGCAGCATGCGAGGCCCCCTGCCAAACTGCGCAGGCGCACACATGCGCAGCGGGCTCGCATCGCTCACCCATCTGTGGCTTCCCTCTGGCATCTGATCATGCCGGGGAGCAACTGCGTGGCGGCTCGGGGGATCTGTCTGATCCCGCCGTCACGCTTCTCTTTTGATATGGCTCAAAAAAGCCGCACTTCAGCCACACCTTTTCCGCCAGTGTGACCGGGGCCAAAGAGTGATAGATAGATATTTTAATGGAATACTTCAATAATGTGGCAATATATTCCTATAGTTCACTGACTTTACGAATTCACTTCTACAGACAAATCTTCCAGTGAGATCTGAGATCCCTGTGATTCATGCTACAACTCTGTTTCACCAAATGGGCATTCCTTCATAAAACAAGAACTAGAGATCTCAATCTTATGGCAAGATTTTCTGTAAAAGGTTTCCTTAGTTCTGCCTGTTGTGAGTTTACCAAACCAGCTTCCAGATGTTCTGTTTGCATAATTACTGGGATCTCAGTCATGTGTCCCAAATTAATTACTGCTGACAAGCTTTCCCAACAAGATTTCTACAAAGTCATCAAACCCTTTACCAGTTTTACTTACCAAATGTAAAAGAAAAAGAGTAAGATATTTTTAACAAGCACTAGCAGCAAACATTGAAGCATCTGGTAACTCAACACCTGGGATTCTGAACTACAAAATTTAAACAAGAATCCAAGACACTATATATATCTCTTACTAATTTATAGCTCAGCAGTCACACACTTCTCTGAAGAAAAGAGCCAGCACACACACACACACACACGCATGCAGTCCCAGTGTCCTGGTTGCTTAGTCTTAGGAAGTGTTTATAAGGCCTTTATAGGAAAAAAAGTAACTGCTTTGTCTTTTAAAAATACACCCAAGTTAAGCGGACACAGGTCTTCTACAGATGATGCTGTAGGAACATTGAAATCAACATGTGTACAGCAGGAGTGAGCATGCGTGCCACTGGCTCTGCCTCCTGCTGATGTGCAATTGCCGACTTTTAGGCTCCATCCCTGTGACCAGGAAGGCTCCTTTTTTTGACTGTTTGCTATCACAGAGAAGGGAACCTATGCATGTACACCTCCTACACAAGCAACCACCATGCTCGCAAGCTGGTGACTGAATGAAAATAGAACCAGTGTGCTTGTGTCTGCTCCCCCTCTACTGTCTAATATCAAGTACATGGATCCAGGGTCGCTCTGTCATGTGTATTCTTCAAGCTCCCCCCCCCCGCAAATGAAAGGGAGCCTCAGGATAATCAGCCGCCAGGCATAGAATGGGTTCGCCTAGGGGGAAGACTTGGGAGAAGGTCATGAAAACACAGGCTATGGAAGAGATTATATTTGTGGGTAGCTAACAATAATATAGGAGCTGCGGTGGCTCAAGTGGTTAAGACGCTGAACTGCAGGCTGTGGAAGGTCAGTAGTTCAGTGGTTCAAGACCCGGGTGCCGCAAGACAGGGTGAGCTCCTGTCTCTAGTTCCAGCTCCTGCCAACCTAGCAGTTCGAAAGCAAGAAATTGCAAGTAGATAAATAGGGACCACTTCAGTGGGAAGGTAACAGCGTTCCGTGCACCTTGGTGTTTAGTCATGCCGGCCACATGACCACAGAAACGTCTTCGGACAGTGCTGGCTCTTCGGCTTTGAAACAGAGATGAGCACCGCAACCCTAGAGTCGGATTCGACTGGCTTTCGAGCAAGGGAACCTTTACCTTTACCTTTAACAATAATATACATGACAAAATGATGTTGGCCAAGTCCCATTAAGGATGCTTAAGTGAAGGATGCTTAAGTCTTCCAGCTCCAGGTTGGGAAATACCTGGAGATTTTGGAGGCAGAGCTTGAGGAGAGTGGAGTCTGAAAAGCAGAGGAACTTCAGTGGGCTAAAATGCCACAGACTCCACCTTCCCAAGCAGCCATTTTCTCAAAGTGACGTGATCTCTGGTGTAATCCTGGGAGATTTCCAGCTACCACCTGGAGGCTGGCAACCCTAGATTGCTTCATACTTGGCATTTGTGTTCGGAATGGAAAATTACTGCACAATTCCAAAAGCCCATTGCCAAATATCCAGGCAAAGAAAGTGTCCTGGGTATCTGTATCTCAGAATGGCTGTTAACTTATGCTGCTGCCTAGGGAAATTTCTACTGATAAAGCACATTTGATTAAAGCAAAGTATCTGCCTATTTGCATACATTTATTCTGCTTCTGTTAAGTAGACTAATTTATCTTTCTGGGTTGCAGAATTGACATGCTATGGTAAAAATTGCCACTTCTCCTCCTATATAACAATTTACATTTTGGGGAAAGAAAATACTAATTATGTAACAGCTCCCTATCCGGAAAAGATCACAGGAGAGAAAAATAAGGGCTGGGAGAAATTAAGATCTACGATACTTACTAGAATGCATATATGCAATCACAAGAGAGGAATAAATTGCCTTGTTACGTGGCATCATGAAAACTGACAAGTTAAAATAATCAGTGGAATATATAAACTGTATGGGAATAGCAGTTCATGCGAATGATAGTAACATTCATATGAGGCAAATATTTTGAAACAAACTAGTCCCTCAGATTATTTTACAGAAATATACCGGTTGATTAAGAGTGCAATGCTAAACCAAGTTACACCCCAGTGGATTTAGAAAGCTGTAACTTTGCTTATGACTGCACAATCAGTAAAGAAATATAGCAGTACAGGTTTATGGCTGGCCACCATTTCTTTACAATGGTAAAATATTCTGAGATGTTGAAAAAATAGCAGTAAACACAATAGTAACAAGAAGTTCAAATCATTGTTATATTTTTTGACAAAGTATCTCCTCTGAAGTATGCAGTTATCAGCTTTCCAAGTAGTGCCTAAGATGGTAGAAAGTCACAGATATGCACAAGAGAGAATTCCTGCTTTAGCAAATAATATGCAAAGAAGGTAAGAGGAACTGATCTTCTGGTAACAATCATCATGATGCAATTAAATCCAATATCCTCACAGGAAACAAACTGCAAAGTAAACAACCCCAGAAGTTAAGATATAATTTCGTAAAGAGAATGATAAAAGGTGGGAATGTGTTTCTGAATTACCAGTTAGAAAGAAACTCATACGAGCAATAACATGCCTACCAACTGTGCAGGGGCTACTTAAAAACACCAAAATAGAGACTCAGGGAGAACGTATGCCCCAAATTCATTTATTTAATTTTAAAGTACACAATCCTTTGTATTTCAGTGTGTGGTGCAGTAGTTTGGAAAACTGTACAATTACTTTTTAAAAAAAGTTTGAAAAAGCAGGTGCAGTTGAGGAGTGAGAATATGTAAAAGACCTGTGTGGCTAAGAAATCTCTTTTTATGCTGCTGCAACCTGAAGTATATAAAACACACCTGAATAGGAATTATAAAAATTCTTTAAACAAAACTTAAATAAGCTTACGGCAGGTATTCAGAATTTGTGGTGGTATCTCAAAAGAAGACACTGGCATTAGTAAAGGACACAGGAAGGGGATTTAAAAC